AAAGTGAGAAGATAATGGAGAGTTTCCATAAACTTCACATCGTTTCCCTTATAAACATCTTCCATTAGTAAGGTACATTTGTTAAAATTTGTGAACCAAAATTGATACATTATTTTTAACTAAAGTCCATACTTTATTCAGATTTCCTTAGTTTTTACTTAATATCTTCTTTCTGTTCCAGTATCCCATCGAGGATATAACCTTGTGTTTAGTTATCATGTCTCCTTAGGCTCCTCTTGACTGTGACAGTTTTTCAGACTTTCCTTGTTTTAGGTGACCTTGACAATTTTGAGGAACACCGGGTAGGTAGGATGCTCTCTATTGGAATTTGTCTGATATCTTTTTTTCATGATTAGACTGGGGTTATGGGGTTTTGAGAGGTAAAGTACCATTATCATCACATCATATCAAGGGTACTTATCATCAACATGACTTATCACTGTTGATGTTGACCTTGATCCCCTGAGGTTTGTCAGGTTTCTCCACTGTGAAGTTACTCTTCCCCTCCTTTCCAGACTGTACTCTTTGGAAGGAAGTTACTGTGCACAGACGAGACTTAAGGAGTGGAGATTTATGCTCACTTGAGGGTAAAGTACAAATCATTTGGAATTCTTCTGTGTGGGAGATTTATGAATTTGTTTATAAATTTAATTTTTTATTTTAATCATATATATATGTGTGTATATATATATAGAGAGAGAGAGAGAGAGAAAGAGAGCTGTAAGACTCATTAAGGAAACAGAGCAGTCCTTTGCCTCATACCCAGTTAAACTCCTCATCAGGTCTGTTCTTATCTCTCAGTGCTCATCTAAGGATATTCCCAAAATGCACCCCACCCCTCCAGACACCTGAGTATTTGGTCTTAGGTGTTTGTTCCCTCCGGACTGGCTTCTTCCCTGGTACCCTCCCCTTGCCAGGATCAGGGCCCCTCCTGAGTGCCCTCAGCCCTCTGTGCTGATCACCCCACATTGTGATCGCCCTGCATTACAACTGCCTAGTAACTCCTCTTTCTTTCTCTCTCCCTCTCTTCTCCCCCCCCACCTCTCTCTCCTTTCCTCTATCCCCTCCTTCCCCTCCCTGCTCTTCTTCCTCCCCCTCCCACTCTCTTCCCTTCCCTCCCCCTCCCTGGGCCAACTGTGTATAGTATAAGCTCGCTGAAGGCAGTGACGGGTGACTTGCAGACCCCCACCTGCCACAGGGCTGGCACATTGTTGGCTTCTGCTAAAATATGCTGAAGGAAAGAAGGTCCTTGGCTCACTCAGAACACACCTCTTTACAACCCTTTGTAAGAGGTAAATTTCTTCTTCTTCCTGTTTGATTCCCTTCCAGATGTTTCCAAATCTACCTAAAATAGTCCCAGTTCTCAAAAAGCCTTCTCCCCTCCCTGTTACTGTCATTCCTTCTCTCACTGAGCGACAAAGCCCTGCCCAAGGCATGTATAGACTCAGCCTGCCCTCTTTCTTCCCACCACCTTCCAGGGTTGTAAAGACCCCAGAGAAGCCACTGGGTGAGAGGGGATAGGACACTTTTTTCACCTCTCTAGGTGGGAAATGAAGGCATCCTCAGGTCAACGGTCCTCACACTGGGGTTCACAGGTCCCAAGGAGAGCACACCAAATAGTTTTAAGGGAATAAGTGTCCAGAGTTTCCCTGGGCCAAAAGTGTCCAGCAGGAGATGGCCCCTGGGAGCGAGGTCTTATCCCTTTCCACCTCCCCTGCTCCTAACTCTTCAGAACAAAAGTGTACCACTCACCCACCAGGATGGTGAAATGGAAACCACTCCACCCCATGGTACATTGCTTCAGGGCATAAAAATCTGCCAGGAGCCCAGAAAAGAGACCACTGGAATTATTGTTGGTGTTCCCACAAAAAGAATAAAGACCAGGTGACAAGAAAACATCGAACGGTTTCTAATTTGCTAATTCGAATATGATTTAACCTAATCAAGCTTTAGTTAATTGAAAAAAAAATTGCTAACAGGGACTTCCCTGGTGGTACAGTGGTTAAGAATCCGCCTGCCAATGCAGGGGACACGGGTTCGAGCCCTGGTCTGGGGAGATCCCACATGCCACGGAGCAACTAAGCCCATGTGCTACAACTGAGCCTGCGCTCTAGAGCCCGCGAGCCACAACTACCGAGCCTGCGCTCTGGAGCCCGCGAGCCACAACTACTGAAGCCGGCTCACCTAGAGCCGGTGCTCCGTAACAAGAGAAGCCACTGCAACAAGAAGCCCACGCACCACAATGAAGAGTAGCGCCCGCTAGCCACAACTAGAGAAAGCCCTGCGCGCAGCAACGAAGACCCAACACAGCCAAAATAAATAAATAAAACATCATTAAAAATAATTGCTAATATTTTTGGCATATAATTTGGAAGGGAGTCAAATAATCAAGTAATATTGCTATATCAAACCTCCCTCCATTCCCGTCTAAAGATGTATGTGAACAAGGTTTCTCTGCACTTACATTAAACAAAACAAAACAAAAACGTAAGAGAATTGATGCTGAACTTTGTCGCATTCAAGCATTCTATCCATGAATGCATAAACTGATTGAAAACAAAACCAAAAGAGCCTGATGCATCTCATCAAAAAATGTATTCCTTGGGCTTCCCTGGTGGTGCAGTGGTTGAGAGTCTGCCTGCCGATTCAGGGGACGCGGGTTCGTGCCCCGGTCCGGGAAGATCCCACATGCCGCAGAGCGGCTGGGCCCATGAGCCATGGCCGCTGAGCCTGCACGTGCGGAGCCTGTGCTCCGCAACGGGAGAGGCCACAACAGTGAGAGGCCCGCGTACTGCAAAAAAAAAAAATGTATTTCTTGTATAATTTTACTTTTTATGTGTAACTATATCAAAATGTGTAATATATTTATGTTTTGATGAGTTGAATAATTATAATGATAATTTAATTCAAAAGAAAACAATGTTAAAACATAGAGCCTCAAAGTCACCAGATATATAACATTATAATGTTAAAAAATGTATATACTAATTACACCCAATTAGGATAAGGTACCAATAAAACTTTCAATCATGACATACGTTACAGTAAGATCGGGAGCACTGAAAGAGAAAATAAATAACATAAACTTTCCAACTGTTAAAGTAGAGCTTGTTCACATTATTTTAAATGGATGTGTTAGAATATCAAACTCCACTGGTATTTTAGATTCCAGTGTGTATATGTAAAAGAATGAGGTCATAGGTTTATTTAAGCGTTACTATTCACAGTATGCTACAAGTGGCGTTCTCTGCAGCTATGTGGTCTTAAGATGAAAAGTTTTAGTTGTCAGTACCTACAGTTTATACACTTATAGGGAGTCTGGGAGTCTTGGTGGGGTGCATGCTTTGGACCAGCACCACCTCTCCAGGAGCCCCTCCCAGGCTGGTCGTTGCCCTCCCCACCACCACCCTCCCGGGCTGTTTCTCCAGACCCCCTTCTTCTCAGGATATGGAAGCTAACTCAGCCAGATGCTGCTGAACAAGTCACCTGGCCCCTCTGAACTCCTCTCATTTCCTCAGCTGTAAATGGTGAGGGTAGAACTAGACGATCTCTAACAGTCTGTAGTTCTCTGAAAGCCAAACCCTTCTCACAGTCCATTTACAGACACTTGGGGACAGCGCCCAGGGAATAATGGTTTTCAGGGCACTGCCTCCAAGCCAGTTTCTATGCTCCTTATATATCCCTTAGTCTAGGATACATTTCAAAAGATGCCTCAGCCAGGAAGCCTTCTCTGATTATGTGAAATCCAATAAAATCTAACAACCAGCCCTCATCCTGCCTCCAACCTTTTAGATTATAAGACCTGACACTGTAAGTACTTGGGAAATGCCTGCTGAGTTAATGCATGACTTGACACGTTAATGTGCATTTACATCATGCCGTCACACTGCATATGTCTGAATGAAACTTTCCTCTGTACTCATCCACGTGGCCTCTTGCAGAAACTGTTTTCAAACTTTTAAAAGTAATGAGATTTTTACATTAAGAACAAGAGTAACAACACAACAACAACAGTAAAATCCAAACTGTTCAAAAAGACCACTAATATGTAGTGTTGTGAGGCTGTGAAGCAACTGGAACCCATTGCTGGTGGGAATATAAAATGGTGTGACCACTCACAGCCACTTAACATGCACTGACTTTATGACCCAGCAGTTCCATACCTGGGTATTTACCTGAGAGAAAGAAAACATAGTCCACACGAAGATTTGGACACGAATGTCTATAGCAGCTTTATTCATAATAGCCTCAAACTGGAAACAACTCAAATGTCTATCAATAAGAGGGACTTCCCTGGTGGCGCAGTGGTTAAGAATCCGCCTGCCAATGCAGGGGACATGGGTTTGATCCCTGACCCGGGAAGATCCCACATGCCGCAGAGCAACTAAGCCCGTGCGCCACAACTACTGAAGCCCTCGTGCCTAGAACCCATGTCCTGCAACAAGAAAAGCCACTGCAATGAGAAGCCTGCGCACAGCAACGAAGACCCAACGCAGCCAAAAATAAATAAAACAAATAAATTTATTTTTAAAATGTCTGTCAATAAGAGAATAAACAAATAGTGGTACATCCATACAATGGAATACTATTCAGCAATAAAAAAAAGAACAAACTAGCCTTACCTACAAAAGCATAAGTGAAACTCAAAAACGGGCTGAGTGTAAGAAGTAAGACATAAGAGAGTACACAGACCATGTTTCTGTTTATTTGAAATTCTAAAACAGGCAAAAACTAAACCTTAGCGACAGAAAGCTGATCAGTGTTTGCCTAGGACCTGGCATGGGGGTGGAGGATTGACTAGAAAGGAGCAAGAAGGAACTGTTTAGGGGAGATGGAAATGTTTTGTATATTGATTGTGGTGGTGTTGATTATGTAGGTGGATACATTGGTCAAAACTCATTAAATTATACACTTAAAATGGGTGCATTTTAGATGTAAATGATATCTCAATAGAGTTGATTGCGATATCAAATTTTAAAAAGATCTCTGCCCACGGGACTTCCCTGGTGGTCCAGTGGGTAAGACTCTGCATTTCCAATGCAGGGGTCCTGGGTTCGATCCCTGGTTGGGGAGCTAGATCCCACATGCATGCTGCACCTAAGAGAGTCTGCATGCCGCAAGTAAGAGGAATTCCACATGCCACAGCTAAGAGTCCACACACTGCAACTAAAGATCCCGCATGCCACAACTAAGACCTGGTGCAGCCAAGATAGACAGAAAAATAAATAAATATTTTTTAAAAAATTAAAATTAAAAAAATCAAAAGATCTCTGCCCAAGTGTCAGAATGGATATTAGAGTTTATAAGACAAAAGATAATAAAACAATAGATAGCATGCTTTGTAGCCCATAATTATTCTTTTTTTTTTTGTATTTTTAAAAATTGAAGTATAGTTGGTTTACAATATTGGGTTAGTTTCAGGTGTACAGCACAGTGATTCAGTTACATATATATTTTCTTCAGATTATTTTCCATTATAGGTTATTATAAGATATTGAATATATTTCCCTGTACTATACAGTAAATCCTTGTTACTTATCTATTTTATGTGTAGTAGTTTGTGTCTGCTAATCCCATACTCATAATTTATCCCTCCCCCACTTCCTTTTTGGTAACTGTAAGTTTGTTTTCTGTGTCCATAAGTCTGTTTCTGTTTTGTATATAGATTCATTTGTACTGTTTTTTAGATTCCACATATAAGTGATTTCATAATAATGTTTGTCTTTGTCTGACTTACTTCACCAAGTATAATATTCTCTAGGTCCATCCATTTGCTGCTGCAAATGGCAATATTTCATTCTTTTTTTATGGCTGAGTAATATTCCATTGTGTGTGTGTGTGTGTGTGTGTGTGTGTGCGCGCACGTGCGCGCGCACGTATACATATATCATGTCTTCCTGAACCATGTCCGTTGATGGTGTAGCCCATGACTCCTTTATTTTTTTCAAGATTTATTTATTTATTTATTTATTTAGGCTGCGCTGGGTCTTAGTTGTGGCACACTTGATCTTCATCTCGGCATGTGAAATCTTAGTTGTGGCATGCATGCAGGATCTAGTTCCCTTACCAGGGATCAAACCTGGGCCCCCTGCATTGGGAGCACAGAGTCTTACCCTCTGGACCACGAGGGAAGTCCCCATAGCCTACCATTCTTAAGGGGAGGACTGAAACGGGGGTGATGGTGGAGCGACAGACAGGGTTCTGCGATCCTGGCTCTGTCTTAGCCGTGAGGCCTTGGGCAAGTTGCTTAACTTCAATGGAGACTCAGTTTCCTCACCTATAAAGATAATAACAATACCAGTGTATTAGAATGATGACTTTTTGTGTTCCCTATCTGGGTCACAGAAGAAAAAATTCCGAATCTACCTTATCTGACAAATTTGTATTGTTCAGTCTCAGGTGGAGCCATGACTTCATCTGAAAAAACTTGCCCTGTCCCAGAGGAAGATAATTATAACACTAATGCACCCTTGCAGAGCATTCTCTCTGTACCGGCACTATTCTGAGCATTCTCCATAATTCATTTAATCCTCACAACATTCTATGAAGCAGGTACTATTTTAATCAATCCCATTTTACAGACAAGGAAACTGGGTCCCAGAAAAGATAACAGTTTTTAAGGGACACAACCCGGATACCAACCCAGGTGCTTTGGCCCAGAGCCCACGCTCTTAACCATCAAGCTATCTTGTCTCTTGTTAACAAAAGCATAATTTGCAATAAAGGCAGGGAAAGGAAGTTGATTGAGAAATACTAGCTTTATACAAACTTAAATGTGAACAAAACCCAGTACCTTTCTATCAGCACTTTTACAAAAAATAGTGAAAGATGATTTCGTGGTGGTTTGGAAAATCCTGCTCTGTTTCTAGTTTCAATTGCTGTGGTCTTTCTGAAGAGCAGGCTGGACCTACTAACAGGAGGAAAAATAGATCTAGTTAAGGAGACCAGCCCTCCTGGGTTTAGCACTGAAAGTTCTGCGTCCCAGGATACCCCCTAGTCCTGGTCACCCTAGGCTAGCCGTTCCCCAGTGAAATAACCCCGAAGGAAAAGAAAAGCTGTGATGTGACCTGGATTGGGCTCCTGCCTCCCTCTCTAGCTCATTTCTCACCACTGTCTTCCTCGGCCAGGCTGAGATAGTTTTAGTTCCAAACTCTTTCC